AATATAATTGTGGAAAGTTTATGGAACATTGCTCCAAAACGATCCATTGCATCGGCCGTCTCATTCAGAACCATTCACGATAAATGCATATATAAAGAGAAATATTATTTTTGAGAAAAAAAACGCGGCTTGTCGCCATTATGACTAAATGCTATTATTGGAAATAAACTAATGATTCACGCACGCAAATTCAATTTGCAATCAGATTATTTTCTAATGAACTTTATTTGTTTGGGCTTTTAATGGTAATGAAGAGCAATAATGTATTAATCACTTCTGTCGATTAAAGTTTCAGTTTGCGTAACACATCTATCGCATATATTTCTATGATTTATATTGTATATTGTATCGATTCGATGGGAATGAAGTTTTATTGTATTTCCACCAGATTGACGATTTCAAATTCAGTCAAATGAAGCTGTAATGTTGATATCGTCATCAATCATTAAAATATTTAAAACTGTAAGCTCTTCCGGAACATGTGGTTTGATTTAACGAAAAAAGAGGAGCAAACGTGTCTACGGTGACGAATATTTACGTAAAAACTTGTATACAATACGGTGACGTTGGAAACAACATAATCATAATGTTTATGTGACAAAGGATTGAAACACGACTGCAACTATTTCGTTATATAAAGACAGATGACGTTCGAAAATCTAAAGTAGTTTGTTATTCAGAGACTTTAGATTTGTGAAATACTGAATTCTTTAGATTTCTGGGCGAAGCATGCAAAATTGATTAAAAAAAGTAAAAAACCTACATTGTTGATGTCTACTTGGTATTTTACCAAAACAAATCAGTTCGGTTGAACTAGTAAAACTTAAGTTTTTTATGAAAATAATAAACTATTCTTCATTCATATTGTTTTCTCCGAAGAATCTTAGCTCAAAATCGTCTTTAGTTTTCTGAATCGTTTTACATTTTTGAACATCGACTGTAATAAGACTATAGTCTAATTGTATCGAATCAAATATTTTCGTATGCATTTCACCAACAGCCCATATAACTCATTTGCGGAGTAATTTTGTCGATGACGGGACTGTGCGGAGTTCGGCGGAGATAGTATCCAAATACTGTGTGTACGAGTGCAACAGCATTCTTTGCTGTTCATAGATTTATTTTGTCCAAACGAACATCTTAGTAGCCGTACACACAGCTAAGTTACTAATCATCTGCGTAAGAATGATGCACTTAGAAGTGCTGTTACCCTCGTACACACAGAGTTTGTATTTCATCTCCGCCAAACTCCGCACAGTCCCGCCACCGTCAAAATTACTCCGCAAATGAATTATATGGGAGGAAAGAGCTGATTTCATTGTTCTTCAAATTCTAAATAAATGGAATTCACCTTGAACCAAATGAAGATGTTACCATCACAGTTTAACATCAGCTAACTGCTAATTTCAAATCATTATTTGTTGTTGTCACAAAATCTAACTGTACCAATTTATCTACAAAAAATATCTGGCAGGATGCATCAACGCTGGTGACGTTAAACGAACATTAATAGTGGTGCCACAATCAATTTATTGTTTGCTTTGCGCTTTTTCATTCACATTATAAGGGGTTGCGCATTATGACGTCACATCAGTCTGCCACGGTATGATGTCTAAGTTCGCGACATACTATTCAATGAACAACATAAACCACACTGGTGGTTAATCACAAAATACATGCACGCATAAGACCTGAAACCACAAAATGCTATTGAAATGTTTAGTTCCTTTGTTGTTCCACTTCATCTCTCCGAAATATGTTCTTCAATGGCAGTGTGGGCGCCTCTTCACCAGAATTGTATTTTAAATTTTGTATGACGCACTGCTTTTACCAATACTTTTGTTATTTGACGATCGGTATTCATGATCGTTAAACAAATCAACAAATATTTTTGATACAAATAAAACCAAACGGGTCTAGTCAATGGACGTTTGGAAAATGTTTATTTTTTTTTTCTTCCGTTTTTTGTTTGCTATACAAGGTCCAATGTCTAAGCATTTCAAATTAGGAAATTGACCACGTCTTTATTTCCATTGTCCTTGTTATGTACCTACGTTACAATAATATCAAAATCAAATGGAAACGTGTGCAAAATGATTAAGATAAACGTACACAAACCAGGTGACATTTATATATTCAAAACAATAGCATACACTACTATTTAGACAAAATAATATTGAATTGAGGCACAACACCAGCAGTCGCAACAATTCTTTTCTATCAGCAGCCATTCATCTCGTCGTTTAAATTTTTATACAAGATAAACACAGCGACTATGTGTCCTTTGTCTTCTTAATTAAATGGACGTAGTTCAACTGCAATGAAAATAAGGACAAAAACGAATTTATTCGCTTGGGATATCTTCTGGAGATAATAAAAAAAAATTACAATAATATAACAAAGCGGAATTTCAAACCATGAATATGCTAATTATAATTTTATAAAAGCATATTTTCAATTGAATTTCACATACACTTTTTGACCATCACGATAAATGAAGTCAACCGTGATGTCTGACGTGCAAAATCACTTTTCAGTCATAGCTAAATTGACTTCTGTAATAAGAGACACGGAAATGAGACTTCCTTTATTAAAAGATAAGCTCATTAAAACTTCTTCATTTAAAATTGGATTCGAAAGCTTAAAACTGAATGAAAGTGAATATTTTCAAGAATCCTTTACTTCATGCCACGTTATAGACGCTATGACAAACTGGTAGTTACAACCATAAGAGATTCGATCAAATAAATTTGCAATGTCTTCTTTTCATTTATTTGTATGCGTATTGCAATGAGAAAGAATAACTTATAAATGACAATGACAAAGTACGATAAAAAAACATGTGGTGGCCCAATATGATATTTGTATAACGTCCAAGCTACTTTTGCAGTTCATCTGGTAGCAAAGAGCCGATTAGGTCACATCATACATTCTAATAGAGTGGTTTTGTTCCCGTCATAGAGCAAAAATTAAATATTTTGTACGGGTCAAAGTGCAGAAGTGACACGGAAAATAGATCGATTTAGCACCATAATGATATGCAACTAAGTTCTTTTGTGGTTTTTATGTGGATAAGAAAAAATACGTGCGATTCATTTTCAGTCGGATTAAATTGCACCCATACGTTTATTGTCATATGTTCAAATGGCTTGGCACAGAACATCATTTCCGTGGGCCGCTTATGTCTTTATTCACTTAACACCCGCACATATTTTCTTTTTTTTTTACTTTTCACAATTTAACTTTTGTAGCATAGACAAAAGGATAACACTTTTCTCCTCCATTAATGTGCATGTATTTTGAATCAGTTGCTGCAAATCTCATTTGTGGTCTTAACATGTGGTTAGTGTTTTATTTGTAAACTTTTCAAAGGGCAACAAAAGAAGAAATCTCCTTTGATTTAAGCGAAACATATGACGCAAACATTGAACAAATGAAAAATAAACAAAGAGCAAACAAACCAGGTGACAAACGAAAAGTCATCGAGAGTGGTTGAAATGAAGTTATAAATACGACTTTTTGCACTTTATCAAAGCATACAAATCTCCATTACAAATGAAATCAAATGTCACCACTTTCAACAACTGAATATATTAAATGAAAATTGATGGTTTCATTGTCTTTATGCTCATTATATAATAATAAGTGCATACACTAAGATGAATACATACCGAAAGACAGACCAACCGACAAAATCAAACGCCATTTTCGCCACCATCAAACGTTTGAATGAGATCCACATCTTGCACATAGGCAACCGGACAAAAACAATCTTTTTACCACCACTTGCACGAATACACCCACACACACCCAGAGAGAGAGAGAGGGAGAATATATAAAAATGTTCATTTATTTATTGCAGCAAATATCAGAAAAAATGAATCACATCACTTTCTTTGGATGAGTGCACAAACATATAAATATTTGTTCAATATTATTCTCTAATTAAGCGAAACAAACGGATAAACACATGTATCAATTTTTGTATCGGCTGCTATCAAAACATGAACACTGATCGAAAACATGAATAAAAAGAGTAAAACATGAATGAGGGTCCACCATTCGATTTTTTTCTTTTTCAATAGATCCAATCATATGTACTAAGTCTCACCACACTACCGGAACACCACAGATGTTGTTCTGTATAAAATATTAAAAAAGGATATGCCAGTCTAGTGTCTGGAGTCAAAAATGCAATACTATAAATATGGATAATATAATCTGATTAGTTGAGTTTATCTTGGTGACAGCTGAGTCTACCAATAAAATATGGTTCATTAGAAGCGATACACATTTTTTTTTTCTCACGCATTTCTATAAAACAATCAATATTTCATGTTTTTGGAGCAAAGTGCTAAAATAATAATGAACAATAATATCACAGTGCATAATATTAAAATAATAACTTCTGATAATAACGTACATAGGGGTCATATTTACCAACTTATAAATATACCAATGTGTCTAATGCGATTTATTTTACTGAGCTCGATATAAACTCAATTAGAATGACGTTTTTCCTAATAATTTTCCGATGATTTATTTGAATTCTATGTGATTGGATTTATTTTTCATTCTGTAACGGCGTTTAAATTTCTAACTTAAAGAAATATTTATTTCAATTAAGTAATGAAACGATGAATTGAAATAAAACAACTGATAGCTGTCCAATAATTCGTTGATCAAAGACAATAAACAATTTGTGGCAGTTTTCTTATCTCTCATATGATAAATATATCAATTCCATATCTAAGCTACATCTTGGCGATGGTCATAGGTGTTGAAATATTTCGAATAGAAGAGAAAATAAAGCGATTCGGAAAAGTAATGAGAGTGAGCGCGAAAAGCGAAAGGACGCACGCGCCAAACGGCACACCAGCCACCACAGTTACCGTTACATTTCCAGTTTGTTCGAAATGCGCGTATATATCGTAAGTACGGCCAACACCATAGCGTATGACGACGATACAACCGAGTTCGAATAAATTATATAAAAGGAATACCGATTGGTTCTAACATTTTAAACGTTCTTCACAACTCAAAGTGTTTGGATTTACACACAACAAGTGGAGTACATCGTATCAACTCAATCCATACAATCATTTTGGATCACACAAAAGTGCAGCACACATTACCAGCTAAAACTCTCTCTCGAATTTTCGGCGATAATTTGTATTTATTGAGGCTTTGTTTTTTGTTTCTGCGAAATTATTTCAAGTTCTTCTGAGGTTTCTAATAATATAAGCAAATATTTACTATTCCATTTAAATTCGATTTTATTGGGCACACAACGTTTAACTAGCGACATTTATTCTCAAGCAGCAACAAGTTGTAATGTTATCCGTTTTAAATAGAAAAATAATAATCAGTTTTGCAATATATTTTACCTGATCAATTCCAATTTCTGGCCAAACTTAATACAGTTTCCAGCGAGAAAAAAAACTTTATTACATTACAAATAGTGAATAATAATTTTTGTGATAGAAAGAAATGAATGAAATTTAAATCAGCAATTGGAAAATTAAAAAGGCAACGTAACTGTTTTAAAGTAGATTCGAATTTTTCTTAGTGCATATCTAGCCGAGGGTGGTGGAAGTTTTTTTTTAGTGATTTTCACAAAAAGCAGAAACATCACACGGGTGCCAACAAAAACCACAGATATCCATACGGAATTCAAGGTATTTTCCACCAAATATGTTCATAATTTGTTTATTTGACACAAAAAAAATGTCAATGCATTTTCACCAGACGATCAGTATTTGCCCGTCTGAATAGAAAATCTGTTGAGTATGCATTAAATAAGAACATATTTGCATGATATTATTGATGCATTGATTTCAATTTTTATTGCAGCCAATTTTAATTAATTCAACAATTACTTTACATCATACTTGTGTGTGTGTGTTTGTATTCATTTCACTTTTTACAACAAATTTTAATGGGTTCCGTTTTGCCAGCATTATTCAGCATGATGCTTTAAGCGAAAAGCCACTTGAAAGACTCCCAAATGGAATATTCACATAAATGCATGCTTCAAACTAATTCGGCAAAGGAGCGTTTTACTTTCATATATACAATTTTCAAATGGTTTCTGTTATGGTTTGTTGCTCTGCAAACACATTTTACCATTTTCCGCTAAAATATTTTCGGTTTCTCTTTGCTCCCCAATTTACCATATAAATTACAATATTATTATCGTAACACATTTATCCTTATTGTTACATTAAACGATGGGTTAAAATGTGTGTGTAAACCGTTCTATACTGGTGAATTTCGGATCTTTGGTTAGGAAAACGAATACTGAAACGGTGAATGCAGTAGCAAACACAAGCAAAAATTGATGATGATGATGACAAGCGATATTGTGCATTTAAAACAGGAGATTTAGTGTGTGCGTGTGTGTGATTGAGTAAATTGTGTTTAGCAAGAATCATTATACGCTGATGAGGCGCTATTCTAATAACTGCACAAAAGTTGCTAAAAATGAATATATCAAAATGATTAAATTTTGTTATTGTTCTTACACAAGTGCATTCAACATATTTTCCAATGAGAATAAAATGAAAATTTCACAATGTACGGACTCTTTTTTTTATCGTTTCTTTCTTTTTATGAATCATTTTATACGATGCGTTTCAATTCATTAACATAATAAACGAAATTTTCATTCATTATTTCGCAATTTTTTTTCTCTCTCACTTTCAGTCAAAACAAATGCCATCTTATTACAATACATTAGCATTTTTCTGCACCGGTTGCAAAACTGCTCACTTTATCTCAAACGTTTGCATAATTTCAATTCTTTCGCTTTCGGTCACACATTTTCATTGTCATTGTGGAATTTGGATTTGGACTAATTGTTTTTTATTTTATTTTAAGTTTTGTTGCATACAACAAACATGGTGCGTCTTGAGCAGTCCCAAGTAGGAGAGAGGGAGAGAGAAAGTGATAGAGAAGAAATGAGTGTTGAACAATAAATATGTTTGCCCGATGTGGCAGTATCTCATTTCACACAAGTTGAAGCGCATGTTTACTTTTCTATTTAAATGTAAATTAATTAAATAATTATTGCCAAACTTGTTGTATTTCCTCTCCATCATCCATTTTCACAAACAACAACACCAATGTTGTCCCGTATTCCGAACGTATTTGTCTTGCATTTTTGTTGGTACAACCATTTTAATTGGAATTCGAACCAAAAAATGACAATTTTAGTGAAATGCAATCGTTTTTACAGCAAAATGAATTTTACTCCATTGTTCGCTTACATCACACCATATTCCATCTGTTCCAACAATTTGATCGATTCGTTGTGCAATTTTTGGATCGAAAAACTAATATTTACATATATTTTCCAAAAAATGTTTCAAATCAATTTTGTACAATAAAGAAGTGCTCCAAGAAGAAAGAAACTGAAAAAAAAAACTTCTTTATGTGTCAACGAATTTTTTTTTTGGGAATCGAAAGAACAATAAGTATATTTTCATTGCGCTCATTTCAGTTGTTAGTTTATTTCCACCCCTTCAATAAGTTTCTTGAATTTAAGCACAAAGTTTCATTCCAAATGGAATGGAATGTAATTATTCAGCATTTGAGTAGAATCGTTTTTGGTGTGACATGAAAAAGTTTGTTATCACGGCAAAAGCCACTTAAACTTTAAAATTCTCTGTCAACAACTGAGTTGAACTCTTAGCACTGATATCATTATTGTAAGTGTTATTTTTTAGACAAAGTAATTTTAACTGAATACAAAATCACATATAAAAATGAGTACTTTCTTTTACTCATGTAATGGCGACCATGGATGAAGTATATTGGTGACTTGATTGACGTTGCATACAAATCAATTACATTAATTCAAAAGAATGTTTCAATATGAAACAGTGATGTATGTGCGATAAACTATTGTTTGTCAATAACAATACATTTGGTGCCAAGATAAAATGTTCATGAATCACTTACGTCTTCACTCTTCTTTCTTTGAGTTACAGTTTTTCTTTGTGCATTGCACTGCATTTAATTTAATATACATCGAAAAATTTCAAATATATTGTTAACGACGTTCATATGCAATCCATCAAAATCTCAAAGCTAAATGGTTTTGTACACACGATACGATTGTTGTTGAAAGATTCCATTGCACAAAAACATGGAAATGCTATTTTACAAAGAACATTGATAACAGATCGCTGAACTTGCCGTTTTACGGTCGTAAATAGTGTACTTACACTGTTCGTGAAGAAAAAAGAAGGCATCAAAGATCAAGAAAAGGCAGTAAGCAGAGAGAGAGAGAGAGAGAAATAGATAAAGTGAAGGACTTTTGTGTGAAAAACATTTTCAATTGATTGCTTATTATCCGTAGTGCAGCAAACCATTCAAAATTAATGATGAAATATCTTTTGGACCACATGCGGAATTTTTGAATGGGGCTCTTTTGAGCGTATGCTTATTTCACAATAGGTCAAAAAATAATATAATTTGCGGGAACATGAAATGATTGCTATGTTCTGAACGAAAAAAAATTACATTGAATCGCCCACATCCATCAATCCGAATGAATCAATGGAATATATGTTCGAATGAATGTACTACATACGATTACGCACATCCAAAATATTACATATGATTATGATTATGGCAATTGTAATCTAAGTCATACATATACGCATGACATTTGTATTGTGCGAACAAAATGTGTGTTTTTTTTTGTTTTTCGTACAGTTTCTATCTGTGAATGTGGTGTTGCGATCGGGCGAATAGGTCTCCTGTTGTTGTGCGTTTTCATTTTCTTTCTGCCGCGACTGTTATTCCGTTTGGTTACACATATTCTAACTCATAAAAATGAATATATTCAGTTAATTATGTCTCATTATTTTTCTCTCTTCTTTCATTTTGTATGTTCGGCTTGACTTTGCAGAATAGTTATGACTGAAGCATGTTCAAAAGAGTGAAATCACCCCATGTTGGGGACGAACAGTGCATACTATCTCTAACATTTAGAAGCATGGAAAGAATTATCCATTCATTCTTTAGCGAGGGAGATATATAAAGAAAGGCACGGCAAAAGTCAAGAAAAAGAGTAAAAAAATCGACAATTTTCACCATACACTTCTTATTTTTCTTGGCTTCTTCAGCGTCAAGAAGAGCACCAATTTGAAATGATACTCTTCACCGCTGTCTTTCTTCGTTTTTTTTTCCTTCTTAGTTTTTGTCTTCATTGCATCGCATGTAATTTGGTTAATTTATTTCTTGTGAATATAGAATTAACCAATTATCTCCCTTCTTCTTGATTGTAATGGCGAAAAATAAACCAGCGCGAACGCGTTTCACAGCTTAACATGGTCATGTAATGATGAACAGCTAATCAGTCGCTTTATTTGCGAAAACCCATTTGAAATGCGAAGCACATCTTGCAGCATTCGAAAAGCAACGATGTTGTTTAATTCTTACTAGAATTTTGAAGCAACAATTCTTGAACAAGCTTGCCCGTGTCTCATTCTTCTTTTTTCATTTCACTTTTTTTCTTATTCTGGTGGTGCTTTTTCATTTTCGGCACCTTAAGCTCAACAAGTGCAATAAATTTCCACAAATAGGTGCCATCTCATCACATAGACATAATTCCGTTTTTCGTTTAACTATTATGAGCACGAATGAACGCAAATAAATATCAACATGATGAATGAATGTGAAAGTATCAAAATACACGTGTTTCTTTCAGCATATAGCTGTTGATATGGCCATAATTCTTGGTCGGTTGAGTAGGCACGCGATATGCATTTCACCCCGAATGAAAAATTAAGCACATTTTATGCTTCAATATGCAAATATAAAAGAACTGCCATTCTTGGCATGTAAAAATACAACATATTGTTGGGTTTTTGGTATTTGTAGATATCAACAAAAAAGAACCATCGAAGTTTTAATGTGAATAATTCCATCGGATCAGTAAATCATTTACGATCCATTTGAATATGGTGATGGAATGATGCAGCATAAACTTATCGAGGCACACATTGATAAAAAACGAATTGTTGAAATTTACAATCAACCCTAGACATGCACACACATATTATATAATCTTTTGAAAGCTAGACACTTTCTTCTATTCAATGGTGCAAGTTTGATGTAAAATATGTCGATCCCTCACACGAATGAATTTACTTTTGATGCGAAAGAATTTTTGTTTTGTTCTTTTTCCATTTCAATTTTACAGTAACAATCTTTTAACAATTGGTCAATCTTTAATTTTGATTCGTCCGATTTGATCACTTTTTTGGCACAAATGTGTTGGTGAGATGAATTTTTGTATCGATTTTAAGAAGGACCAAAATAATAAATAATTAATCAGTTGCTAATTTAAAGATGGTAATTGGTCGCTGTTGCACCCCACGATGTAGATTAAATAATAAGCCATGTTACAGTCAGACAGAAATGCGTACAACATAAAATTTGTTCCGAATGAAAACATTTGAATTACAAAAAGGCACAACACACAATTTTAAGATAAAATTGTCATATGTCAGGTTTTAAGCGAAACAAATTATACGAATCAAACTAATTTATCTACACTGGATGATGACTTTTTTCATATGAAGACGATTTCTTTACTGAAAGTGTGTTTACACTCAAATGTGCTTATATGTTGGTCGAACATAAACAAGCGAGCAATAATTTGCGA